TCCCAGACTCTATGATTAAGGAAATGAATTTTTATTGTTTATAAATATTCAGCCTAAGGTTACAGTAGCTGGACTAGACTCAAATACTCCTGTGCTCTGAGACCCTGATATTCTGTCTGGTCACCAGAGATTCGACTAAACTCAACTTATTTTTTTCCCCCTGTACTGGGGCTTGAACTCATGTACTTTTGCTTGGCTTTTTTCACTTAAGGTTGACTCTTTACCACTTGAGCCACATCTCCACTTCTGGCTTTTCGCTGGCTAATTGGAGATAAGAGTCTCATAGATTTGTCTGCCAGGCTGGCTTCAAACTGGAATCCTCAGATCTTAGCCTCCTGAATTAGCTAGGCTTGATTATGGGAATGAACCACCAGCACCTGGCCTAGACTCAACTTCTTAGTCTAATTTCCTCCTTCTCCTCTTCTTTTCTCTTTTTCCCCTCCTCCTAGTCCTCCCTTTTCTTCTTGCCAGTGGCTTCTCAGAGTTGTCTAGTTTCATGTTTTCTCTTTGGCTTGGCAGAATTTATGTTCTTGCACTATACTACATCAAGTATTTCTTCCTTTTCGGTTTTCACAGCCTACCTCAGGAGTTCTTGACTGTTCTTGTAAATAAACCCTTTGAAGACCACAGTTCCTTCTCAGAATGTTTTTAAATAAATAAAATACAATCAATAAGATTTTGGAGGAAAGCAATTATATAAAATACAATTGTCAAAACATATGCTAAGGGGCTGGGAAGGTGGCTCAGTGGTAAAGTGCTTGCCTTGCATGCATGAAGCCCTGGGTTTGATTCCTCAGTGCCATATAAGCAGAAAAAGCTGGAAGTGACACTGTGGCTTAAGTGGTAGAGAGCTAGCCTTGAGCTGAAGAGCTGAGGGATAGTGCCTAGGCCCATAGTTCAGGCCCCATGACTGACAAAAACAACAACAACAACAAAGGAATATTTGTGATATGGCAATATATACATGTATGTATGTGTGTGTGTGTGTGTGTGTGTGTGTGTGTAAGTATTGACAGGCTTGAATTCAGGCCTCATGCTCATACTTGCGCCTGTTTTGCTCAAGGCGGGTGCTCTACAATTTGAGGTAGAGCTCTACTTCTGGCCTTTTGGTTTTTGTTTGTCCTGAAGCTTGAACTCTGGGCCTGGGTGCTGACCTTGGGCTTTTTTGCTCAAGGTTAGCACTCTACCACTTGAGCCAGAGATCCATTTCTGGATCTTTTTGTAGTTTATTGGAGCTGAGAAATGGCTTTCCTGCCTGGGCTGGCTTTAAACCATGGTCCTCAGATCTCAGCCTCCTGAGCTCACCTGGCTTTCTTCTGGCTTTTTGCTGGTTAGTTGGAAACATGAGTCTCATGGCTAGCTTTGAGCTGTGATCCTCAAATCTCAGCCTCCTGAGTATCTAAGATCATAGGCATGAGCCACCAGTGCCTGATTATATGCTTCTTTATTTTTGTTTTTATTGTTTTGAAGGCTGACAGTTCATTGCATTTTCATGTTAACAAACACCACACGTTGAGGTTTTTAAAATTGTGTTTTTCTTTTTCCTTCACGGTATCAAAGTCTCATTCAGCATGCCATGGTTCATGATTCTGACAAGAAGAAAATGAAAGTAAGTGGAAACTCTTCCGGTACCGTCTGCTTTAACACCAACCCTGCTTACAGCCACAGGCCACCCATCTCTGTGAACTATTCCCACTTTCTTTACTGTGTGTTTGTCCTGTTCAAGATGTGAGTCTCTGTAAAGGAATGCTTCCCTATTGGCAGGTACAGACATTCAAAACAGTCATTTTGATTCTCTGTTCTAGTCTGTTTTCCAAGGTAAAACAATCTCATGAAAAACAGAGCTTGGCATCTCGTCTCAGTGGATACATCCCTCCTAAAGTGAAACAAGGAAAAAATTCACCTTTGTCTCCGGATGAAGAGTCCTATATGCTTCTTTATTACTGCCTTAAGTAATATAGTCTAGTAGTGAGAGTGGCCTAGGAACTGTAACACCTACAAATGTTCAATTGCACGCTGCCTTGCCACCTGCCTGCCTACCTGCTTTGTTTTCTCTTGGCTGTTCAGAAGCCTGGAAAAGGTTTGCCCAGTGTACTTGCCCCACTAGCTTTCTTCTCTTAACTGAGAACATTTTTCAGCACTTTTTGTCCCATTTTTTCCCTCACTTTTTACCACTCCTCAGTTCACGCCATCTCTGACTTCTTGCCTTTGCCTCCTAGAGTTCCTGCCTGCTTAATCCCCTCATTTTCTACACTGCAGCTACTCAGGAGGCTGAGATCTGAAAAACCCAGGTGGAAGCCAGCTGGGGCAGGAAGGTCCATGGGATTCGCATCTCCAATTAAGCAGCAAAAAGCCAGAAGTAGAGCTGTGGCTCAAGTGGTAAAGTGCCAACCTTGAATGAAAAAAAAAAAAAACAACTAAGGGACAGTGCCTAGGCCCTGAGTTCAAGTCATAGAACTGGCACACATACACATACACACACACACAACTAACTCTACTTGTGTCTAGAGAACTGCTGACATTCCCTTGTACACAGAAATCCCTGCCCAGGTTATATATAGAGAAATTCCAGCTCCTGAGCTCCATACAATCCGAGCAAGGAAAGCTTTCAATGAAGACTTGTTTAATCCAGTCACCAGTTAAAGACAGAGAGCTGCTTTTTCCTCCAGCTCCCAGGCCTTCCCCTGGGATTCCCATCAAGTCCCTAGTTCTCGCTCACCTCTCTAATTAAACAGGCGTTTCCTCAAGCACTTAACATTCAGAAAGAAAGAAAAGGTTTCAGTTCATGGTATTGCTTTTGTTTTGCAATGGGTCTTTTCTCACCACAATTTCTTCATTGTAATTGTGTGGGACAATTAGATTTTGTGTGTCCTGGGAGGGGCTGAAGAGGGAAGGGGTGAGAATGAGAGGCTTTCAGAAAACTGAGCATTGGAGCATGAGCAGTATTTCAAAGTGGTGAAGCTAGTGAACAAATCAGTCTAAAGTCAACGTGTTTGCCTGTGTGGGGGCTGAGTTCCCAGCTTTGTCTAGCTCCATTGGGACCTTTCTCTCTCTACTTATAACTGCCTGTAATGGTTTCTTTGTGGGACTTTGTTTCCCCACCAGATACGTCAAGGAAAAAAGAGCTTTGTGAATAATATGTTAGGGACTTATTAACAGCTACATTTTCCATTTGACATTTTATATGCTAACACAGATGAAAGGCCCTGAAAAGTCCTGCAGAAAGCAGCTCATTAAATATGTGTAACTCAATCTTCTCCGAATCTTTGACTATAGAAATCTTTTATTTATGTAGTGTGTGTGTGTGTGTGTGTGTGTGTGTGTGTGTGTGCGCGTAAAATCTACAAATTAAGTACCCCTTATCCTCAGTGCTTAGGATCTGAAGAATTTCAGAGTTCAGGGTTTCTCAGATTCTGGAATATCTGTATATGTACAGTGAAATACCTTAGAGAAATACCATATTTTTTGTTTCATATATATCTTGTATATGTAGGTAATTTTGCACAATATTTTAAAGAATTTTTGAATTCAATGAAGTTTCATGCTGTGGAATTTTCCATGTATGACATTGTGTCTAAAAATGGTTGTAGGGCTGAGAATGTGGCTTAGTGGTAAAATGCTTGCCTAGCATGCATGAAGCCCTGGGTTCCATTCCTCAGCACCACAAAACAGAAAAAGCTGTAAGTGGCCCTGTGGCTCAAATGGGAGAGAGCTAGCTTTGAGCAAAAGAAGCTCAGGGACAGTGTCCCCAAACCCTGAGTTCAAGCCCCAGGATTGATAAAAAAAAAAAGAACAACAATAAACAACAAAAAACCTTTTGCATAGCTAGGTGCCAGTGGCTCACACCTGTAATCCTAGCTACTTATGATGCTGAGATCTGAGGATTGTGGTTTGCAGCCAGCCCAGGCAGGAAAGTCTGTGAGACTCTTATCTTCAATTAGCCACCAAAAAGTTGGAAGAAGATGAATGGCTCAAGTGGTAGAGCACTAGCCTTGTGAAAAAAGTTCAAAGACAGAATCCAGGCCCTAATCAAGCTCCAGGTCTGGCACAGGGTTTGCACTTGGATTGTTGAATTCAGAAAGCCTAGCTTGCGTTAACAGTATGCAAAAAGATGCCATAGAGAAAATATCATCTTGTATTGTTGTGAAAAGAAGTTGGATTGCTAGATAAAAAATCCAGGACCTCTCCCTGGGTTGTTTGGAGTGGACAGAGCTGGAACTAGGACTCCCCCATACTTCCCCCAGCAAGAGAAGCTATGTGGAGCCACCTTCCTATCAGATAGCCATCTGAAACTCCAGTGTTTGTCTGCTTGGAGTAAGGCTACTCTCACACTCACTGTATGTGACAGGAAGGCCAGCATTGCGTGGCTCCTGGGACTCTTAGCTGTAGCCCAGCCCAAGCTTGCTTCTCTGTGGCACCCGTATGCTTGCTGATCTTCTGCAGTGGCAGAAGTGACTCTTGCTGGTGTTTGTCTTGAGCCTGTTAGAAGATCCTCATGAACTCCTACAAGGACTTGTTTTCTTACTGTCCAACATTTCCTTATTGGAACTGTAACCTTCAGAGGACCAGAGACACCATCTAACCCTTTGTCTCTTCTGCTATCTGCCTCTGTGCTGTGCCCATGTAAACACCTAGGGCATGGCTGGCTTGAGGATGATCAAATCAATAATCCTGCATGTTGCACAGTCTCATGAAGGGAAGAAAAATGACAATGTTGCAAATCCCTTAATTCATTAGCAAAGTCTTCTTAAGTCTTCTTCCTGTTTGGAGCAGCCTAGGGAAGACGCTGAGGGAGACGAGAGTAAGCAGCAAAATGTACACCTCTGTGTGAAGCGCAGCGTTCCCGGAAGACTTAGAACAACTGTCAAAGTCCGCGATGTGTCCATTTTTATTAGTTCTGATGGCGATGTGATATCGTTAGTGATTCCAGTCTCATCTTCACACTGAGATCATCCGAACAACGTAGGTAAAGGGAGGGAAGAGCAGAGATGAGGCATCGCCAGGCAGTCCTGGAGCTGACCATATAAATCCAGGAGGAAGAAAGGCACAAGAGCCTGGCCTTCTAGCTTGCCAGTCACCAAGGCATCAGATCAGGGCAGTGTTGGCTTTCATTCATCCCCAGTGGCCATGAAGGGTGTCATGCAAGTTTGGGTCATTCTCCTCTTAGTCACCGTGTCTGATTGTGCTGTGATCACAGGGGTAAGTCTCTAGCATTCTCTATGTTTGGGTTTCAGGACAATCTCAGTGTCTGCATGGGACATGTGCCTGGGAACCAACAGAGCAAGGGGAGAAGTGTGGAGAGAAGGGCAGGGGAGGGTGTGTATGTAGAGGGTGCAGGAGTAGCCATCAGATACTTTCTCTCTTAGAGAGGGGCTGCATGTGATCTTCAGACCACTTCGATCCCACTGATGAACATGGATGGCTTTGGAAAAGCTGTGTATTAATCAAATTATTTAAAGTGCACTAGGAGAGTACTGAGAACTCTGAAGTTCAGTCTTTTGGTAAAATGAAGACTTTTTCTTTTCTTTCTTTTTTTCTTTTTTCTTTTTCTTCTTTTTTGCTGGTCCTGGGGCTTGAACTCCAGGCCTGAGAGCTGTCCATGAGTTTTGGTGCTCAAGGCTAATACTCTACCACTTGAGCCCAGCTCCACTTCCAACTCTTTTTGTAGTTTATTGAAGATGAGTCTCACTGATTTTCCTGCCCAAGTTGGCTTCAAACCATGGTCTTCAGATCTCAGCCTCCAGCAAGATCCCTGTTTTCTAACAAGGAATTCTTTTGCAAAGTGGATTAGTGACCCTGATTTTCTCTTTGTGCCAGTACTAGGGCCTAGAAGGCTCACTTTTGAGTTTTTGCTCAAGGCTGCTGCTCAACCTTTTGAGCCATAGATCTACTTCCAGATTTTTTGCTGGTTAATTGGAGATAAGGGTGTCATGGACTTTTCTATTCAGGCTGGTTTCCATCTAGAAGCCTCATAGTTAGAGGCTGCATAGTTAGAATTATCATGCCTTAGCCACCAGCATCCAGTTTCTAGTTTATCTTTTGTGTGCATCTTGTGCTGTCTGGTTCACAGGGCTATTGGGTTGGCCAAAGGCCATGGGGTCTGGCTGTGTTTGCATCACATCATCTCTGCTGCCTCCTAGAGATGCTCAAAACACCTCCTTCATTTCATGCCCAGTGAGTTTTTCGGGAAGCATAGGGGACACCAACATTGGCTGGTTATACCCTAGCAATGGAGGGGTAGAAAGGCAGTCTTCATAGCATATTTCAGTGTCCCAACACTTGGGGTGGTGGTGTCTCCTCAGATTTCTGGCAGTGCCTTACACCCCTTTTGGATGGGCACAGATTGTATTATGGTGGCAGGACTACCTTTATTAAAACCAAAAGCACTGCTTTAACCTAAGAATTTCCTAGCTAAGAGTCCAGAGAGAGAAAGAGAAAGTGGCAGGGGGGGGGGGGGGTCTGGATTAACTTTTATTTCAACTTCCTTCTGCTTTTGGCATCGAGAAGGAAAATATGGAGTAATGACAATGCCTGAAATCAGATTTGTTTTAATGCTCCTAGAAGAGACAACTTCTTTCTCCTTTTCAAAAGAAAGCGACAGCGTTCAAAAGAACAATCATTAAGTTTTGGGTCCCCAGAGTAACAGGGTGAAGGCAGAATTACATATAATAAGCATGAACCTTGGCTGCTGGCTGCTGGTGGTATGGCCTGAAAGTGAAGAGGCAGGTCGGAAGCCACGGATGCCTGGCAGGGCCCGATGAGAGGACCTGGATGTTCAGGTCGGCTTCATAGAGACAGCCTGGACACTCGAGCCAGGCAGACAGGTCTGAGGGAGGAGAAAGAGCACTTACACAGGTGAGCACAATGAGGGAGAGAGCTAGGAGGGCGCAGAGGAAATGTGTGGCTGATGAGGTGAGTTATTCGAGCAGGGCATTGAGCAAAGCAGGAGAGCCCAGCCACGCACCTGTGCCAGGCTCTGCAGCTGCCTCACATCTGTCTCTCAGAAAGTGACCAGATTTGACACCTTCCATACTCCTTACTCCTGGACGGTGATTTCTAAGCCTTATGTCTCTTCCTTCCAGTGGGGGACACTGTATCCCATGCCCGCCAGAGACCAAGAGTCAAACAGGGTCTACTTCCCCCCAACCATTGGCTCTTAAGGGGCTGCTGGGGTGGAAGCTGGGGCCCCTCACTGGACTGGAAATGGGCAGCCATATTGTCACCTGCCTCTCCTTTTCTTGATGAAGAGATTTGACATCCTCTTCCCCCGCCTCCGCCCATGAAATGAGAAAGTAGAGAGCTGGGCAAGAACCTGTCACGGGCAGGAACTGGAAACTTCTGGTTTCTTCCTGGGCAGCCTGAAAATATTCCAAGAGCAAATCAGAACCCAGCTTTGAGTTTCAGCTCAGTTGGGACACACGGCTGCTTTCAGGAAGGGGTAGCTTGGAAGGTTCTCTGTCACATTCCTCTTGAGTCTGAAGCAGCTCACAGGTCGGTGTTCCTAACCTTAGCTTTTGTGTACAGTGGCCTTGTGTGGCCTTGGGTGGCCTGCTTGACAAAATCCGGCAAGGCCACACCATATGGCCTATTCTGGAATGCCAATCTAGGGGAGTCTAACTGTATCTGGGAGCCAGCAGAGAAGCACTGGAGAGAGACACATGGTTACTGGGCTTCTAGAGGCTGGATGCTAAGGGAAGATGAACCCCATCCCAATGCTGGATGGTGACAGATACTCTACTGAGTCCTCAGCACCCTGCCCAGGAGGGGAGCAGGGGCTATAAAGCATAGCCCCAGATGCCTTGATTAGGCTGAGTCACTCAGCCACTTCCTCCCTGATACTGGCTAGACCTTTCAGGGTCCATCATGGGCACTAATGGACTGTCCCCTCTCACTCTTACCCCTGCAGGCCTGTGAGCGGGATGTCCAGTGTGGCGCCGGCACGTGCTGCGCCATCAGCCTGTGGCTTCGGGGGCTGAGGATGTGCACCCCATTGGGACGAGAGGGAGAGGAGTGCCACCCGGGTAGCCACAAGGTATCGAGCTGGCCACCATGCGGGCACACATGTGGGCCAGCCAGGGGATCCTGGGGCCTGGCTTCACCAGGACTGCAGAGGTGGAGGCTCCCGAGGCTAGTGTGAGAGAGGGCAACTCAGATCCAACCCCTGACTATCAGAGAGGGAGCAGGTAGCCATGAGTGCTGCTGTTTGCCCTCAGCAGGCAGCATTGTCTACCTCCAGACTTGTAGACAGGCTGGAGAACCATGCTTATGGACTTGATCTTTTCAGAAATCCTGGGTCACGGCGGGGGGTGGGGGGGGGTCGAAACTGAGGCACAGCCAATAGGACAGTGTGATTGGAACTGCAGATTTCCTTGCTAGATAGCCCAGGCTGGCCTGGAACTTGACACTCCTGCTTCAGCCTCCCAAGTCCTAGTTCACAAGTGTGTACTACAACATCTAGCTTTCCGGAACTACGGGTGTCTGATGTCAACTCTAGTTGTAGCTCACTGATGTTGCAGTGCTCATCACACAAACTCTTATACTTGGGGACTGGACATCTTGAACCCTTTATTTGCTGTGTTGGTCTTGGGCAATTAGCTTAACTCAGAGCCTCATGTATACATTGAAGGGAGCAGACCTCTCAGTCTAAAGTATCTTGTATACTAGACAAATTCAGATGTGGTGTGTGTGTGTGTGTGTGTGTGTGTGTGTGTGTGCCAGTACTGGGGCTTGAACTCAGCGCCTCATATTGTTGCTCAGGTTTTTGCTCAAGACTGGTACTCTACCACTTCTGCCACACCTCCACTTCTAGCACTTTGCTGGTTAATTAGAGATAAAAGTCTCTTGTATTTATCTGCTAGGGCTGGCTTTAAAACTCCATTCTCAGATAATTCTCCATTCTCAGTAATCCTAGCCAATGCTATAGGCACCCAGCTCAAATTTGTATTTTGAATGGATAACTTTGCTTGCTTGCTTGCTTGCTTGCTTGCTCCCTTCTTTCCTTCCATTTTTTTTTTTTGTTGTTGCAGTCATTGAGCTTGAACTCAGGACCTGGGCTCTGTCCTTGAACTCTTGCTCAAGGCTAGCACTCTACCATGTTGAGCCATGGCACTACTTCTGGTTTTCTGGTGGTTAACTGGAGATGAGAGTCTCATGGACTTTCCTGAGTAGCTAGGATTATAGGTGTGAGCCACCAGCACTTAGGCCCTTTGCTTTCTTGAGATGCCCACAAAATGGCCTCCTATACAAGGTTGGAGCAGAGTAAGACAAATTGAGAAGGCACTCATACAAAGGGTGAACAAATACAGTGGTGGTACTCATTAGACACTGTTGAAAATGAATTTGTGAGTGGGGAAGGGAGGGAAAACTGGATGAGAGTGAGGGAAGGGGTGACACTGTTCAAAAAGAAATGCACTCATTACTAGACGCATGTAACTGTAATCCCTCTATATATCATCTTTATAAAACAATTTAAAAAAGATAAAAGAAGGCACTTATTCCTCCAAATTCTAAATGTTCTAACTCCGGCTCTGTTTCTGGCTCCCTTTTAGTTCATCGCTTACAGAGCTCAGTAAAACGAAGGAGTCTCTACTGTTGAAGAGCCAGGGAAGGCCTGGGGATGTAGCTCCAGTGGTAGAGCACCTGCCTAGCAAATGTGAGGTCCTGCTAATCAAATCCCAGTATCCTCAGGACCAGGTAGGGCCTTCATGGGGCCAGGCCTTCACTCGGGCTTACCAGATGCTGCCAGCCAGGGCTCAGGTGTCTTATTTGCTGCTGGTGATTTCCCTTGACAGGCCCTTGTGCTCATGTATGTTCAGAGAATCTTCCGCCAGTCTCCCTTCTGATCCTGGCCTCCCTCTCACTTCCCTCTGGAGCTGAGGAAACTGAAGAAGTAGTCATGGTCAGCCTTTGTTACTTTGGATGTGTGAGGCAGACACAGTGGGGACCTCTGTAGTGATGAAAATAAATTCTTAGTGTTTCCTTCTTGAATTTTCATACTAAGCATCCTTTTTTTGGGTGCTGGTCCTAAGGCTGGAACTCAGAGGCCTAGGTGCTATCCCTGAGCTAGCCACTTCAAAGCTAGCTCCGATGCTCAAGGCTGTATTTCTATCACTCACACTCAAGGCTAGCACTCTACCAACCAGCTTTTTGGGAGCAGTTTATTGGAGATAAGAGTCTCACAGACTTTCCTGTCTGGCCTGGCTTCAAACTATGATCCTCAGATCTCACCCTCCTGAGTAGCTAGGTAGGATTACAGGTGTGAGCTACCAGCACCCAGCCCTAGACATTTTGTACACATATACTTTAAAAAAAAAAAACAACCGTTGCATGGTAACTGCAATGAATCCATTTTACAGGCAATAAAGTTGAGACACAGCAAGGCCAAATAGTCGAATGTCATTCAGCTAGGAAGCTTCAGACCTGGGAAGCAATCAGACCAGGGAGTCTGGTGCTGGACCTATGTTCCTGTTTCTATTCAAGCCCCAGAAGCTTGACATTCCTATGGCATGTGGGCTAGAAGGCAGGCATGGGACCTGTCACTTGGCATTCATACCAGGGGCACCCACAGAGCTGAGCACATAAGAGAGCCGTGGATATTCACTCAAAAGAAATGTGTGTGATCCGGCCACTGGTGGCTCATGCATGTCATTCTAGCTACTCAGAAGGTTGAGTTCTGAGGATCAAAGTTCAAAGCCAGCCCAGGAAGAAAAAAAAAAACCCTCTTATCTTTAATTAACCAGCCAAAACTGAAGTAGAGGTGTGTCTCCAGTGGGACCTTGAGTGAAAAAAGCTACGCAAACGCGTGAGTCCCTGAATAGCAAAAGTGTGAGTCCCTGAAAGAAAGCAAAGGGGCATGTGTGGAGAGTTTGTGGGCACAGGGGCGCCGGGGCTGGGGAGCCAGGCTGCTTGGGTACAAGTCCCAGCTTCTCTCCAATTGTGTTGTGTGCTGTTGGTGTGTGGCTGGCACCATGCACCTTGTCACTACCCTCATCGCTGTGTTAGGTGGGGGAGGGCCGGGGAGACTGAGGCTCCTGTGGGAAGTTCGCTTCCCGGTGACTAGTAGCCGTGCCTCTCTTCTCTCCTCAGCTCCCTTTCTTCAGGAAGCGCCAGCATCACACCTGTCCCTGCCTGCCCAGCCTGCTTTGTCTGAGGTTCTCGGATGGCAAGTATCGCTGCTCCATGGATTTGAAGAACATCAACTTTTAGGAACTTTCTGGGCTCTGGACACCTCATCGGGTCTCTTCTTGAGCATAGTCTGGAATGGTCTCTTGTGGATTTTTGTTTCTACCATGCAACTTAGTTCTCCCAACTTGCCCAAACCGTACACTGAGCCCCCCCCGGAGTCCTCCCCCCCCATGCATACACAGGCATCCAAGGGGACCCACCTCCCACTGTGGCATGGCCCATCTGATGGAGGGTGTCCAGCGTGAAGCCAAGGCTACGAGAGGTGGCCAGTTTGTTCCTTGTTCAGGAGGACTGAGAGCTTGAGAATGGAGGAAAGGACATGGCTGTCCTCCTCACCCACCCCCACTCCCCTGCCCTGCCCCTGTCTTGCACGTGCCCTGCCTCCTGAACCAGACATTCCCCAGCACTGGCCTTGGAGTGCTTTGCTCAGAGGGTTGGAAGGACCAACATGAGGGTTGTTCACTTTCTTAGATCGACTGACTTGAAAAGAACAGGCTCCACAGAGGGCAGAAGCCAGGCATGGGGGGAGCCAGAGAGCTCGACCAATCCCCAGTGTGCAGGTCCTAGTCAACCTGCGACCTATGACCTATGACCTGTGACCTTCAGCCTTCCCACTAGGCAAGCATTTCAATGTCTTTAAAGCTTTATCCAACACCCTGACTCGTTTGCCAGTGGAGTGTTCAGCTCCCACCCCTCTGCACTTAGAAGGTAATTAGGGAGACAACTTTAAATAGCGCCTTTGTAAGGATCAACCCCAGAGAGCAGGTCTGCCACCTGGAGGTGGGCTTCCCTCTGCCAGGCTGAAGATAGAAGAAAAAGTGGGGCCGAGCTTGATGCTAGGCTAGGAAGACACTCTAACACACACACACACACACACACACACACACACACACACACACACACACACACACACACACACACACACACACACACACACACACACCCTATGCTTTCCTCCTCTGCTTCAGAATAAAAAGAGCAACCAAACTGAGATGTGTGGTTGTGCTGTGTCCGAGACTGCTTGCAGCAGGGAGTCCCTGCCTATGTGAAACCAGACTGTGCGTGACCAGGAAAGGGAGAGAAGCGATGCATGAGCGGCTCTCCTGTCACTCTTGCCAGGGAACTGTTCAGAACAAGTAGGTTTCAGTGAATCTTTGAATGAGGGGCCAGAGGTGACTCAGAGGGTAGGGAGGGGGCTCTTAGGGTCTGGTTGTAACTATCATTTCTGAAATTCACTTCTGGTGGCTTTATGGCAAATATTTGACCCCACCAGGCCACAGAGCATCCCCCTGCACGGAAGATGCTGGTCCTGTGGCCTCTTCCTCCCCTCAATTCTTATTCTAGAAAATTATGTTATATCTCACCCCACCTTACTTCTCAGGAGATTATGCTCCTGTCCCTGAGAGTTCATTCTATATTTGTCCTCCATCCCTTCTTCCCCTTGCTGCTCAGCTCTCCATTTTCCTTCCTTCCTTCCTTCCTTCCTTCCTTCCTTCCTTCCTTCCTTCCTTCCTTCCTTCCTTCCTTCCTTCCTTCCTTCCTTCCTTTTTCCTTCCTTCCTTCCATCTCCCCCCTCCATCTCCCTCCCTCAATCCCTTCCTCCCCTCTGTCTTTCTTTTTTGTGCTTGTACTGAGGTTTGAACTCAGAACCTAGGCACTACCCCTTAACTTTTCTGCTCCAGGCTGGCTCTCTACTACTTGAGCCACAGCTCTGCTTCTTGCTTTGGGGGTGGTTAATTGTTGATGGGAGTCTCATGGACTTTTCTGCCCAGGCTTGGTTTGAATCACAATCCTCAGATCTCAGCCTCCTGAGTAGCTAGGATTACAGACATGAGCCACCAGGGCCCGGCCTTTGCTTTTGTTCTCTCTGACAGACATGGTCACTGCTGTGCTGACGTGTGCAGGTCTTCTTCCTGCAGCACACATGTCTCTTTTGCTCTTGGTCTCAGGCTCAGATCTTGGATCTCAAGATACTGCTGTGTGCCACCAGGTTCTGATTTTGGAGGCCATTTCCAAAGTGTTCCTCCCTCCCTATGAAAACAGAGCCACCTGAGTGGGTAACTAAGTTGGTGCTTTGGGAGGAGGCACCAAGAAGTCTGAGCCTCCTGCCACACTGCCATGCCTCCTTCCCCCTCCAACCAGGAGCAGCCAACCGTAGGCTCATTGATGTGCAGAACCACCGATTGAGTCTATTTTTTCATCTTGTAAATGTGAGGACTGCATAATTGGTCTCTGCCCCAGATTCCTGCTGCTGTTGCTGAAGACTGAAGGGCATACAAAAAGGAGTAGGAGACTAAGAAAAATATTTGTGAATGTTCTTTATATTTAGAACTATGCTGATTATAAATCTAGCTATAAAAAGAATCTGCTTATTAGAACGATATATCCCCGAGACAGATATATTCTAGGAAATAAGATCAGGTGAAGACCACATTCTTTCAAGATCCACCCACATGGGTATTAGCCTATTTGACCCCAATCTTTCATTCTCAACTGCTGGTGTCTTGTGCCCTCTGGTGGCGAACATGAGGATAGCAGTAAGGATTGAGATGGACAAAGGCAGGCAGAAGAAACCACAGAGTTCCAGAAACTACTACCTCACTCAGCCCCAAGAGTCAGTCTGGAGAACTTGTTTGAAGCATATTAACACACACACACACACACACACACACACACACACACACACACACACACACACACACACACCATACCTGCAGATAGGAAAGAAGGCCCACAGTGGCCTGGGACTTGTTTTCTGTCTAGTTGTCTTCTGTGACACCTTCACAGATCAGGATTGAGAAAGCAAGCAAAGAACTATCTTCAAACAAACAGCAGTTCCCTCATTCCTGATGAGTAGACCAGTGAAATGTGCCATTTAAGCTTGGAACATTTTTGGTATTGGGGTTTGAATCTAGGATCTTGTGCTTGCTAAGCAGGTATTCTATTGCTTGAGCCACACTTCTCTAGCCCAAGCCTGAAATACTATTCAGTCCTATAAATGAAAGAAGTACTGATAGATGCTACAACATAGATGACTATGAAACATCATGCTGAGTAATATAAGGAAGCCAATCACACACAACCATATCTCATTGCATTTATGTGAAGTACCCACAATGGGGAAATCTGCAGAGATAGAAATTACATTAGTAGCTGACTAGGGTTGTAAAACAGAATAGCAACAAAAAATATGGGGAATCAGGCAAGGTGTAGTAACACAAATCTGTAAAACTGGCTTCTTGAGAGATGGGGATCAATGAATCCCAATGTGGGAATAGCCTTGGTCAAAAAGAAAAAAAAAAGAAAAAAAATGGCAAGACGCTTTTTTTTTTTCTTTTGGTTGGACATGGGGCTTGAACTCTGAGCCTGGGTGCTGTCCCTCAGCTCTTCAACTCAAGGTGAGCGTTCTACCACTTGAGCCACAGCACCACTTCCAGTTTTCTGGTGGCTAATTGGAGATAAGAGTCTTATGGACTTTCCTGCCAGGGCTGGCTTTGAACCATGGTCCTCAGATCTCAGCCTCCTGAGTAGCTAGGATTACAGGCGTGAGCTGCCTGTGCCTGGCTGCAGGATGCTATCTTGACCAATATCTAAGAATGGCAGTTGTGCTTGTCATCCTAGCAATGTGGGAAAGCACAAATAGGAGGACTGGGGTCCAAACCTGCCTCCAATTGCAATCCTTCTACTGTGCCTCCTGTATAGCTGGAGTTATCAAGATGCCTGCCTTGTTGGCTGAGACGGAGTCTCCAGAACTTTTTGTCCCAGATAACCTGGAACTGTAGTTCTTCCAGTCTCTGACACCAGAGTAGCTAGGGTAACAGTCATAAGCCATTGTGCCTAGCCCTGCTGGACAACTTTTAGAATAGCATACTGTGTTTTGGATACTAAAAGAAATCCCTTGGGGGCAGCATGAAAGCGCGCCATCATATACTCTTCAGTTTGGGGTTCAGTATTGCGACAATCTTTTTGTGTGTGGGTGTGACTGTACCTTGAAGTGTGAGGAATGGTTTTGTTTTCCCACAGGGGTCCCTACCTACCTTGGTGGGCAAAAAAAGCTTTTATGCTGGGCAAGTTAACAGGCATAGGATTAGTAGGCACTGGGAACCGGGACTTCTGTGTATTCTAGGAATATATATGTCCCCTTCAGAAGTGGGCATGGCCAATTATAGGCAGGAAAAGGGCTGTAATGTGCAATCTCACCCCCTGTTCTCATCCTGGTTGGGGCCATTTTTAGTCTCCGAAGCCTGAAGACACAGAATCACTGAGATGGACAGCTCTCCGTGGTGAGGAGACTGCTCCTTTTCATTCAACAACTCATGAAAAGAGGACCCCATGACTTTAGCCAACCCCTCAGCACCTCCCATAGCTCTGGGCCCTTTGTGTCCCATCTTGGCCCATGTCAAGGAGAGATGATTTGTGGCCTGTATCCCCAGGGTTTTTTTTTCTGGTTCAGTCTCTCAACTACTGAAAGTCTCAGCTGACCCCAGGTGACAGAACCTTCAATATAGTTCTTTAAAGAGCTCCGGACCAGGCACTGGTAGTTTATGCCTATAATCCCAACTAGTCGGGAGGCTGAAATTTGAGGATCATGGTTCCAAGCTAGCCTGGGCAGGAAAGTACATGAGACTGTTATCTCTAATTCACCACCAAAAAAGCCAGAATTGGAGGTGTGGCTCAAGTGGTAGAACACCAGCCTTGAGACAAAAAAAGTCAAGTGAGAGCACAAGGTCCTAAACTCAAGCCCCAGCACTGATAGAAAAAAAAAGACTTCTGCAAGGCCTGGCCTTGCTCAGGAGAAGGGTAGGGGTGGTAGGTAGGTATTATAGGCTCTTCAAAGGCAGAGGGGCCTTTGTGCTTGGCGGCATAAAAATCAGTGAGTATCTGCTGGGCCTTTGCGAAGACAATTGTTGATGAGTGGGCTGAGAATCATCCAGGGATAGAAACAGACGTGTTTCAGATAGAGACGAGTACGACATGCGTCTGGGAAAATTCTTTCACAGATCTCAACCCCTAAGATTAAGCAAACAAATATATCATGATGGCAGCTTGCCATTTCCTTGTCATTCT